CCGTTACCTTAGAGCTCGGACCGCTCTTCCGTGCATTATTTCTCTCGAGTCTTTGGCGGCCGGCCCTATATCGCTGGCTTGTTTGTATTTTCCACAGGCTCGAAAGAGTTCAGGTTAAACGTCTGGCCAACCCCTAAAGGCCCCCTGGTTTTACAAATCAAAACCTAACTGCTCACCTGCCGGCCCGATTGCCCCCCACTGCCCTCGCCTGCTGGCCCAATCGCCCCCAAATGCCCTCCCCTGCCAGCCCGATCATTCCCAACTGCCCTCCCCTGCTGGCCCAATAGCCCCCACTGCCCTCCCCTGCCGGCCTGGTCGCCCCTAACTGCCCTCCCCTGATGGCCTGGTCACCCCTAACTGCCCTCCCCTGCCAGCCTGGTTGCCCCCAACTGCCCTCCCCTGCAGGCCTGGTCATCCCTAACTGCCCTCCCCTGCTGGCCTGATCGCCCACAACTGCCCTCCCCTGCCGGCCATCTTGGACCACATGGGAGCGACCATCTTATGCGAGGGCATGATGGTCAATTTGCATAGCACCTCTTTATTATATAGGATAATGCATCATTATGATCATACAGAAAGTTAAAAATGTACTATTTTTCACCTGGCATTATAATACACTGTGTGTCTTGTTTTGTGTCCAAGTTGGCGTTTTTCTGGCAAACTGATTAATGTGGAAGTGGCAGAGGTAGGAGGGTGCAGTGGTCAACGTTTGGGATTCTGGAGCCTGGATTTGAATCTCAACTCTATGCAGTCAGCTGGGCAAAACTGTGAATTACTTAGCTCATGCCTCTGATTCTTTATTTGTGAAATAAAAACATATAATAATACCTCTCTCGGAGTTGTTTTGAGAATTAATAATATATATGATGCTCTTAGCTGAGCACATAGAAAGCATCCATTATATGTAAGTCAAAAAAGGGCAAACTGTGTCTAAATGAAGGGGGCAATGGCAGCTGGCTGAGAGGATGAAACAGCACTCACTGGCAATCAAGCAGTGCAGCCAATAGTGAAGGAGGTTCCATCTCACTTTCTTTAACATTGGTTCACTTGCTAAAAGAATGTTCTCTCTCGCTTTAAAAAGCCGTTTCTTTGTTTATCAAGGCCCCCAGAGGAAAATCAGAGAGAAGACCATATTTCAGAAGAAGAAAAGTAAGTAGGGGGAGATAAAAACAAGCTAATGGAAGAATACTAGCAATCCACTAGAAACGTCTGCTTCTGAAATGAGGGCTACCTCCTCTGCCCTGTTTTTCAGAGTACTTCTAATTGATTCTGTCAGGAGCATGTGGGTTTTAGAACCTCTCCTTTTGCAATGCCTTTTTTAAAATTTAGAAAAAAAGTGAGTGTTTTGTGAAGTATGTACCCAACACAGGGGAAGGTTGAACATTTTTCGCAACGAACCTTATTTTTGTAAATGAATTGACTGGTTACTGTAAACATGCTTTATAAACACAGTGATACATGGCTCTAATTATTTCCTTTTGAAGATTTTGAATTGGTAAATACATTTGGTCAGATACTGTTTAACTTTGTAAGTAATCTGAAGATCATGCTGTACCAGCTTTTTACTCTATAAATTTTGCAGTAGTCCTTTAGCCAAAAGCAATAAAATCTGACCCACTAAGTCTAACATCATGAACTGTTTGTAATCTTTGTTTTTGACTAATACCAAGAAAAGTTATTTTTGTGCAAGGCTAATAGAATTCCATAAAAATGCAATGTAAGAATTCACCGAAACAACCCCATCCAATTTAAAATCAACTTGCTTGTTCTTGAGCACAAATTCACATTATCAACAGATTTCTTCTAATAGATGGTAAAGGGCCTCAATCCAAAATTTAAAATATAGTGTTCATGTACAAATTGATGGTTGCCCAGATGAGAGGGGTTTAGGGGATAGGTGAAAAAGGAGAAGGGACTAATAAGTACAGATTGCCAGTCATAAAAACAGTCATGGGGCTGTAAAGTACACTATTAGGAATAGTTGATAATGCTGTAATAACTATGTTTGGTGTCACATGGGTACTAGACTTATCAGGAGGATCACTTCATAAGTTATATAAATGTCTAATCATCTAAAACTAAAATAATGTACACCTAAAACTAAAATAATATTGTATGTCAACTTTAATTTTAGAATTAAAAATAAAATAGATATTTTAAAAAATATATATTTCTCATGTTTTTGATTTCAAAATAGTCTTCTATTAACATTCTTAGTCCCTGACCTGAGAGTTATTTAGAGATTTGAATGTTGCTAAGTGTCTTGGTAATTTTCTTTAAAGATTTCTAGCTGTATTTCAATGTACCATGAAAACATTAGCTATATAAAGTTCTTCTTTTGAGAATTTAAGACTTTTCCAAGATTTAACATATTATTATTGTTTTCAAATTAAGTTTATTATGGCTACAGAATTATTATTTTTTATTTTTAAAATATATTTTTATCATTGATTTCCAGAGGAAGGGAGAAGGAGAGATAGAAATTGCAATGATGAGAATCATTAATTGGCTGCATCTTGCATGCCCCCCACTGGGGATCGAGCCCACAACCCGGGCATGTGCCCTGACCAGTAATAGAACCACTGAGCAATGTTGGCCATGCTGGTATTAGTTTGCAACAAATGATCCATAGCCCGGCTGGTGTGGCTCAGTGCTTGAGCATTGACCTATGAACCAGGAGGTCACGAATTGATTCCTGGTCAAGGGACATGCCTGGGTTGCGGGCTCTATACCCTTTGTCGGGC